TGCTGGTGTACTAGGGGCCACATCAAGTGTTCCTAATACTCCTCATTTGGATTTGAAATGATCATCAGGCCCAATTCTATAAAACTAAGGTTATATCCCCGATTCAGTCCCTCAACTTTCATTTTTGAACTAAAACTACCCTCGAACTTCAAAAAGTACTAAAAAAATCCTTGAACTTCAATTTTTGGGACCAATTTCATCCCTCTGTCGACGGAAATGACAGATGGCACGTTAAGTTGCCACAAAATCAATTCTTGTTTGAAATCTTTAATTACGTGGAAAATAACTAGTCCACGTCATCCCTCATTACTCCGATCATCCCTCATTACTCCGATCATCCCTCATTACTCCGGTCATCCCTCCGGTCATCCCTCATTACTCCGATCATCTATTACCACTCCAATCACCATCTACTTCTTCCCCAAACCTCCTCCCTAATAGAACTCAATAAATCTGATTCAAAAAATCAATTCCTCTACAAATGTATACCAGATTTGCAAAGAAAAATGAAAAAAACACCACATTCCTTCAATCAACATCAACAGTAACTAAATCTGGAAATTCAAGCAATCAGAAACCACACAAAACTCTAAATCCCATTCAAGCATGACTGCAAGCCAACAAAGAAATAGAACAAAAAAACCCAGGCGGGTTCGACTCAAACCCAGGCGCTGGGTTCGAAACCCAGCACCTGGGTTCGAAACCCAGCACCTGGGTTTGAGGAACATTCGTGAAGCCTCTAGATTTACTACTATATCAATATGGTAATAAAATGGAAAACAAACAGACCGCTCAACAAGATACCTATGAATCCACAATTAGCGAATGGCATATGACCGCCAGCAAGCAATCTCAGCTTAGATCCGGAGCGAGGAGCCGAGAAGCAAAGCAACGACGACGGCAAAGACAGCCGAGACAAATGACGGCGACAACGAGCCAGCACTAGCTGTCGGGGTCGGAGCCGGAGCATCGGCGGCCAGTAGGGGAGGGGAAGGAGAAAAGGAAAGAGAAGGAGAAAAAGAAAGGAAAGGAAAGAAAAAAAAAAAAAAAGAAATTTTTATTTATTAAATTATATTTTTGATGTCCAGTCATAATATTTTTATAATTAAAAATGCCACATCACTCATTTTATTTTCAGGTAATATTTAATATTAATAAAAATTGAATTTGTTAACGGGAAATGTTGCCATGTCAGCACTTAACTGACGGAAGGACGAAATTGGTCTCAAAAATTGAAGTTCAAGGATTTTTTTAGTACTTTTTGAAGTTTGAGGGTAGTTTTAGTTCAAAAATGAAAGTTGAGGGACTGAATCGGGGATATAACCTAAAACTAATGGCCGAAGAATGGATCAAAGGATCATGCTCGAATACAAGTATCGTCAATTGGCATTTGAAGTGATCTCAGGCCCAACTCTCTAAAACTAATGGCAGGAGAATGGATCAAAGGAACGTCTCTCTTGGACAAGGTAAAAGTTGGCAAAAACCCTTCTTAAGCCCCTCAACTTTTTTAACAGCAAGTGATAAGCCCTTGAACTAAAAATGATGCGAATAAGCCCTCCAACTCCCCGTCTGAAGCAGATCAGTCCCTCTATTAGCTGAGCCCCTCAACACCGTTTGTTTATTGGCTTGCATGGCAGTTAAACCCATCATATTATAGCCAAGAAAGATCAAGTTTTCCCATTTTTCTTAACAGTCAAACAAAAACTTGAGTAATTAACATACCTCTCACAGGCATCTTAAAGAGACGAGAATGACCACTTGAAATCTGGGTGGCAGACTTGCCAAGCATCCTGATACGCATCTGGGGCTCCACCTGGTTCAAGGGTCGAATGGGCTTCTGTTGCTGCTGTTGCTGAGGTGCCTGTTGAGGATGCTGCGGCGATTGCCCCTGTTGGAAGTTACGGTTCTGCTGCTGCAAATTAGGATTGGGGGTGGGGTTAGGGTTAGAGTTTTGCTGAACGTTAATGGGGCGATGCTGGAGGACGCTAGGAGTTTGTAGGTGCACATCGATGTTTGAGGGAAACCGAGAAATCACCGCCTATTACTGCTGCTGATGTTGCTATTGGGCTTGCTTCTGGAGTTGCTGTAGAAGAAGGAACTGTTGTTGCTGCTGCTACTGTTGTAGTTGTTGGGGAGTCACTGCCTTAGCTTCCTCCATTTTTGTTCTGCAGATTCTATTTTCTTTTACCAAATTTTCATAGAATTTTGTTCTGATTTTCTTTCTTGGCCGTATAGAATTTTGATCATTAGGGTGAGAAAAAGAGATTGGGTAACAGCTATGTTCCGCATATAGGCAGTGATGCTGATGATGAAGAATTATTGAATCCCACATGGACATTAACTGACACGCAAGCCAATAAACAAACGGCATTGAAGGGCTTAGTTAACAGAGGCGCTGATTTGCTTCAGATGGGGAGTTGGAGGGCTTATTCGCATCATTTTTAGTTCAGGGGTTTATCACTTGCTGTTGAAAAAGTTGAGGGGCTTAAGAAGGGTTTTTGCCAACCTTTACCTTGTCCAATAGAGACGTTCCTTCGATCCATTCTCCTTGCCATAAAAGTTTAAACAAACTTTCATTGGGCCACTGAGGCTCAGTTGGGGACTATTGCCTGTTGCTGCTTGTTAGTTTTTTAATATTTTAATATCTTAAAAAAATATCTATAATATATTTAAGTAAAAAATGCATGTCAATCCCTACTCTAAAAAAATCTAAGAAAAATGGTTTAGAAATGATTTTTTTGTACTTTTTTGTACAGTCTTATGTGTTATTATTTAAATGATTTACTTTTTATTTATTTATTTGAAATCTATGATATTGAATATATTCACTCATTTAATGACATGAAAAAATTGTATAAAAAAGTTATATAAAAAAGTTGTTTATATATCAACACTAAAAAATTAAGGTTTTAATATTAAATTATATCATTTTATTTAATTAAAAATCAAGTTAAAATTTAGAAATATATCTTATTAAACATTGATATTTATATTCGAAAATGGATTAGATTTTTGAAATTTGAATTGGAATTTTAGTCTTTAAATATAA